GGAATAAACCTCGATCTACGGGGCTAAACCAGGGTAGTCAGCTGATTGGTCCGATCGTTGTCTGCCTGCTGCTCCTTCTTTTTATAGTCACACCGAGTATTACCGACATGGTGTTCCTTCCTACCTTGTCGATCCTCTTACCAATAGTAAACAACGCACTAGCTGAGTGTCGCGGTCGCCTAGAAGAAAACTTGTCTGGGCCAGTTTCGTACTACTACTGGTCGCCGGCGGCGCGATGGCCCCGTTACTTTCGGAAAAGCATGATGCCATCTACCTATTGATTTTTTTCCTTTTTCGACCAATGATTGGCGACAGTCTCCACGCCGGTGCGTGTGGCATCGTGCGTATGTGCCATCTGATCATGGCGTCCCAACCGGCGTCTGATCTGTGTTGTCCAATCAGGCTGTCCCGCCCGCTTAATTGCCCGCCCAGCAAAACGTCCAGCTCTCGATTAGCTGTCGCATAGCGACCGACGACGAAGGACGGAGGGCGGTGAACAGTCGCGGTGGCGCCGACAAGGACCCTCCCAAGAAAGCGACCAAATCCTCGGTCTATCGCGCTTATGAATCGCAAGCGACCCTGACTCTTTCATAATTTGCCATTTTTCCCATTCAAAGGAAGGATAGGGTACGATGGCCAATTTCTTTTCGTTCCATGAGTAACGACTTCGTTCTCAACCGATGTTTTACGGTCGCTGCTGTTTAGGCGTTTTGGAAGTGTGTCGTTTGGAGGAAGTCGGTCGCTACGAAAATGGGCTACGAGAAGTACGACTCTCAGAGCAACAAGAAACCGCGCCAGGAGATCAACTGCCTCCTGAAGTATTTCATCTTCATTTTCAACTTTGTCTTCTGGGTACGTAAACGTTTGTGTTTTCTCAGTTTTCAGTTTTGTCGCTCCAGCTGTGTTTGAGAATCGTTCGACGACGCAGTCTGCAAACTCGTTACCTCACGTTCATAACTCCTCGAGCAAAGAGTCTGGTTGATTTTGGAATTGAATATCCGAATCTACTCTAACCATTGTTTCGCTGTGTATTTGAGTTTATGAACATTGTGAATTCTTTAGGGTAGAATGTCAATGGTGGCATCCACAGTTCATTCCGTGTTTTGCCGCGATAGTCTTTAAAGGGCTTGCTTCACAGAAATATTTAATATACAGTCTGCTGTCTCATGACAACTCTGAGCGGTAAACTTTTCAAAGACTGTCGTGATGAAGAGCGATATAGCCACACAGAATAAAAGTAATATTTTTAAGCCTTCCCATTCATGGCATGAGGATTAGCAGGTAGCCATCAGAACCTGTCATGAACCCGGGTAAGGTCTGATTGCGACACAGTGACAATGCTAAAATCCCAGGGCACTTCAGGTTTACTATCCAGAATACTGACCGGATAATTCATGTCTGTCCTCTTCACTCTCTGAAGAAAGCGAAATTCAAACCGTGTCCTTGCGCGGCGTTCAGCCGGTCTACTTGGGTTTCTTGGCAAAGTAACCTAAACCGTTTTTATTGACCGAATAGTCCTCAGAGCAGAAGAAATAAATGTGCATTGAACAGTTGTAGGTGATTCACGTCAAGCCTTCACCGACACCTTAACAACTACGGTAAATAGTGAATCAGCGTACTTCGTTCTGGCACGCAGTCAGCTTCATTGCTTATTAGCAGTTGGATTTATTTCCCTAAAATCGGTGATCACTACCCTCTTTGCTCCCTCTCTTCCTTTCCTCAAACAGTTCACTCGCATGAATTGCACCTCTGGCTTTTAGATGAATGCTCTTGCCGTTGCCGAATGAGCTCGTAATTGTGGACCGAGTTCAGCCTTGTGAACAACTGCAAGGATTATGACCTTTGTTGACAAGAGAACACCGCTTAATTTCACAGCCATCACGCGGTCCCGTTTCTGCGTTGAAACGCAGTTTCCTACGGGTCATGTGTTTAGTCACGTCGGCAAATGCAACGTCACCCATCGAACGACGAACTCATTAAGTAAATTAACACTAGCTACTCTCGTTATTGCTCATACTAACTGATCATTAAACTGGTAATTAAGTGCATGAATGCGTATG